TTTAATATAATATATAAATTTATAATATTAAATTTACAAATGTGTAATAAGAATAATATTTAAAATAATATATAAATTTTTAATACAATTTAAAAAAAATTTGCACCCAACCAGTTCAAATTCGTGGCCCAACCAATCCAAATTAATGGCCCAATAAAGCACAAACTCACATTCAAGATCATATAACATTCATGTAATTTTTTTAGTCCCGCATCATGAAAGAGTATAAGATGGTTGTCTTTTAGCTCTTTATATAGTTCACTCTTTTTCTAATAAAACTTATTTTATGATATGGCATACATATATTATGGTATTAAAAATCTCACAATTTAATTATAAAATTTATTTTTAAAAAATCTATTAAAATAAAATATATTGTTTATATTTTATTTAAAATAAAAAACATTTTAAAATCGGCCCGTTCTTTCAAACCTGGATCGGGTCACTGGTCGAACCGCCGGTTTTCTGCGAAGCCGGTTTTTAAACTGAACCGGATCGGACAATTGGTCGGTTCACGGTTGAACCGGCTAGTCCGGTCCGGTTTTTAAAACCTTGCTCTGAACACATAGCTACGTCCGATGTCCGCACAAAATAGTTTATCCATTATATGCGGTGTCCGAACGCGTCAGGAGGCTAATCTGAACGTGCCACGTCATGCAATACGGTGTATTGGGTGACGTGCAGCATCTGGATTGGCCTCCGGATAAATCCAAATGCCACTAGCAATATTTTTTCAACCTCACGACATTACTAATACTCCTAATAGATAAAACAAATAAAAGATGTTTAAAAAATAATAGAAAAATAGAAATAAATGTAAAACCCAAACAATACAAAAAACTGAAATTACCAAAATATCTTGCTGGACTCATAAATCTTAACCAAAAACAACAATCATAATTTGATTTGCTTGGAGAAACGACTCTCAACCATAGCAAGAAAGATTTGAGTGCAGAAATAGTTTTGCAAATAATATCAAAACTAAAGTTGCATTCAAATAAGAGATGGTATTTAGATTCAATATCTATATAACATATATTGCAATGAGGATCCACAGTTATATTTCTCAATATAAGAATACGGTGATTTATGTGGTTCGACAAATATACCTTTCAAATCAAAACTAATTTGGATTTGTAAAAATTTCTAAATCAACAATTGGAATATTATATTTACCACCCTGTATGATATTAGAAATAAATTAAACCATCTTAATTATGGATCGCAAGTAAGAGACAACTTATTTTCCACATTGATTTGAAAAGTATTTAGATGTAAGATGTTGAAAGCATAGAATTTAAGATTTTTCCAGCATTTAGAAGTTGTAGTGGCAGAATTCTGACTTTGGTTTCATATTATCTCTTATGTTTTTGTGGTTTTCATTTTGAGTAGTAATAGATTTAGTGGGGGGAATTGCGACTTTGGACGATCAAGTTATCAATAAGAGGACATATTTTATATATATTGGGTCTATTGTTCAGAGTGATTGTGGAATAGATTGGGGATATTATTAGTACAATTCAAGTTGGATGGTTGAAGTGGATGAGTGTATCGGGCTTATTGTGTGATATAAAAGTCCCCTCAAAGGCTCAAACTTAAGGGAAACTTCTATAAGATGGTGGAAAAGACTGGCAAAGCTTTATGGCGCAGAATGTTAGTTATTAAAAGAGAAACGTAATATTGAGTTAAGTGTTGCAGAGATGAGGATGCTAAGGTGGATGAGTGACTTTACTCTTAGAGACAATATACGAAATGGGTATATACATGAAAAGGTTGGAGTAGCTCAACTGGAAGATAAGATTATAGAGTGTCGCCTTTGATGGCTTTTTCACATAAAATGATGGCCTTTCGATGACCAAGCTAGAAGAATAGATGTATCAAATTTATCTTATGTTAGAAAAGATAGAGGAAGACCTAAAAAGACTTAGTTAGAAAATATTATAAATGAACTTTCTTTATTAGATTTAAATGAGAATTTGACTCTAAACAGGATATAATAAAGAAGAAAGTATTAATGTAGTCAATCCCACGTAGTGGGATAAAGATTTGATGTTGTTGTTATTGTCTCTCTTTGGATCATAATCATAACCACATATTATAAGATATTAAAAATGATGAAATATAAAATAAAAAATAAACCATGTAGAATATAAAAAATTCATGAAATATAACATTAATTGCTAATTAAAGTTTATAGAACCGTTGAGAAAAACAAGCTCAACCACCAAGACGAAGAAGAATTAATAGTGTGGTATGATTGATAATGAGGAAGAAATTAGAAGTATAAAAGATAAATTAGAGTAATTTCTATGGTGTGATTTTTTATTTTTTATTTTGAGAAAACTCGCATACAGGGCATACGCGTTTTAAAATTGAATAACAAGTCCTTAGCAAATCAATAGCCCTCTAAAAATAAAACAATTAAGGAAAACCTATGAGCCTTTAATTCGATATATTACAAAACAAAATCATCAAAAAGAAAAGCAAAAGAAAAAATAAAAGAACAACAAAAAAGCCAAGGAAGGCCACAACCAAATCAGTATGGGTCAAACGAAAGCAGCCACCCAAGCAAGTCTCTCAAAGCAATCAGCAACAATCCCACAAGCAATATGCACCAAAAATAAGCCTGTAAGAGGACACAACAAACCATTGCATGAGAAGAACAATTAATCAAAAATGCCAAGAAGACAAAAAATACCAGCAACCCTAGGATGAATAGAGGTAGAAGAAGACAACAGAAGAGGGGCCTAGATAGAGTTCAACAAACGGTTCAAAGAGAACCCAACAAGGCAACCACAACAAACGCCCACGGACATAGACCACTAAAGCCACCTCCCAGCCATTAGCCCACATACGGTTCAAAGAGAATTCAATATGGCAAACACACATAAGGACAAGTCCACAACCAACAAATAAAATAACAAGACATTGAGCAGACAAAAACGAACCAACAACTGAAGAAAATAAACCAAACTATTTCCTTTTTAGCTTCCTTCTACGATGTTTACTTCCACCCATAGCAAAAGCTTTTTCAACTATGCGGTTGATATTCAAATTATACGTCGCCTGAAAATCATCATCAGGCCCATCCAAATCGTCCCGATCACCCCTGCAAGGTGAGGAAATAGAATCGTTAAGCCAATCATTTTGATCCAAACAATTATACGCTAAATTACCCGCTAACCGAGCTTTCAAAACTTCATTAGAAATAAGCGAAATAGAAACGCTGATAAACGGTTCATTCGAAAGATTATATTCCAACAAAGGCACATTAGAGTTAGGATAACCAACAATAGTAGAATCCACCACATCCATAATCCCAATAGACACAACAACACCCATGAGACAAGAAGAATGACATCCACAAGAATGAACACCAGCATCATCATCAACTAAATTAGGCGAGGCAATGGGGGAAGTTATAATGTTAAATATACATTTATTAGCATCCCCACCCTCATAAGAGGTAACCAAAGGCATAATGACCTTTACTACTGTGGGTCTCCGAAAGGATTTTGCTCGTGTGATTCGAATGCAAAGAGTACGATCACACTATCCCGTAGGACAAAATGGTCGTAGGCCTTTACAATCGACACAAGCAGGCCGATGGAAGAGCAGATGGAGTTATAGATACGATTAGCCATGGAAGATAGCAGCTTTCACCTACCAACCTCGATGGATAATAATATCTATAACCCAAAAGTTTACGAGATTTCCCCTATTCGATACATCAACATCGAATAGAGTTTATTTGATTGTGGGGATCGGTTTCATACGGGCGCAAGCCCCCGTAGTTAATTACATCCTAAGCCTTGACTTAGGAAAACTCTCGATTAGGGATGTTAGATTATCTTCTCTGATGGGTTTAGTGTAAGGGAAAATTCTAGGCTTTCCTAATCAAAGAAAAAGAGTGTCCCAAATTGGCTCAATCAATCACACGTGGTTGAGTCGTCATTCGTCCGATCTAAGGGAAAGAAAACTGGAGAAAAAGAGAGAGAGGCCAAGCATTCAAACATGCATGAGAGAAAGAAGGAAGTGGCGTCATCTGTGTGACGCAGATGGGTGGAGTTTATAGCTTCCGAAAGGATGGAGAGCTTACCCACCAATAAGGTGTATAGAGGTACACTTGTACCACTAACCTTTAGACCCTAAGTCTATAAAAGATGTAGTGTTGTACACACAACACTAACATCTACGACCTAACTAATGCAGTCCTGGATTTATTCCTTGCCTGACAAAGGAAGCCAGCTAAAATCACCTAATCGTATAAAATCCATGTTGTCCAGTCCATATGAAAGATGGGAGGGTAGTTTAGACATTGAAATTGGGATCGACAACTAAAGAAATCCCTGAGTGATCCCACACTTATGAGTGGTAAAATGCCCCTAAAACTAATGCAATTAACTTTTGATTTTAATTAGTTACTAATGCAATTTATGCTGGTTTAAAGTATCCAAATCAATGATGTATAAAATATTTAAAAAGGCTTATAGAAAATAATTTTTGAATGACTAAACTTCCCCAGGTCCGGCACTTTATCCTCATAGGCCAGATTATCCGGACTCTACCCGTAGGCGGGGAAGCTTGTCTAAAAGAAGAGAGAATGCGTGCATGCGCCCCCGGACGATTCCAGCTATTCCCTAAAATCGTTATGGTTTCTATGTGAATTAATCTTAAATTTTTTTTTTAATAATTATGAGTATAAAAATTTTTATCCCTAAAGAGCCTAGCGGTCAGACGCAAGCACATGCAAGAAAACAACCTATAAAAAGCATGCCGGTTCTTCTACGCAAACAAAGTAAGTAAATCACAACACAGAAACAAATCCCACGAAAAAGAGTGTTTATGGCAAGTGACATGCAATATTACATCACAGAGTATAGTAAGTAATGGTGGCCGGGCTCCACCGACAACAACCCGGGAACGACGCAAATCTTAAAATAAGGCATTTCTACTGCTTCAATCTTCTTCTTTTCCTTGATTCGTCTTTGGATCGTCTTCGTTCTTCCTTCTGGCTCCTCGTAATGACTCCTCCAAAAGGATACCCAAATGAAAAAGGAAATCCCCTGTAGGGGTTTACTTTTTCCTTTGTACTCCTCGTAGTGAGTGCTCCAAAAGGATATCCAAATGAAAAAGGAAACCCCTTGTAGGGGTTTACTTTTCCCTTTGGATTCCTATCTCTTTAAAAATGCCTTATTTTAAATTTTCACAACATTTACTATCAAATACATTACATTATAAAAATAAAAATCTAGACTCTCCTGCAGGGGTTATCCTAAGCAGTTTATAATAAAAACTCATCCAAGCAGTTATATATATGAAAATGCTGAAAAATAAATCACACTTGGCCGTGCTTTGATTATTGGAGGCTAAGCAGCTGAAGCAGGTACCTAAAGCAGTTATTCATTTATTATTATTAATTTTAGCCCCCTTTTTAGCGTTGTGTAAGCACGACCACCTGTAGGAAGACAGCATTAGTATGAAAAAGCGTGCCTAACCTATGGGTATTCTAACGCTCACAACAACAGTGCAGAAAAGAAAAGAGCAGAAAAAGCGTCACAGAAAAGCTACAACAAGTAGCAAAAACAAACGGCACACGGGTCACATGCAGAGCGTCACAACACAGCACAGAAAAGAAAAGCAAAACAACAACCTAACCTAAAGCTAATAGTCGTGTCCTATCAAACTCATTTAAGTGTACGTGGGTTGTGTGGTTTTGGTAGGTCCTAAATAGGATAATTTAATTAGAATTGTTTGTATATTTTTTTCATTTGTTAAGAAGGGTAAAGGAAAGAATTTGGTTAAAGTTCAAATATTAGTGTTTTAGGATTGATTTTTAATGTTTGATTAACTACCACCTTTGTTTCACACCGAGGCCGTGAGATTTATTTCAGCCTCCTTGGGGCTAACTTAATAGCCTCGTAGGCCTGGGTTACCCAGTGATAATTAACTTTGTTATTATTGTTTTAGTTTGTTATTAAAAGAAAAGGAAAAAGTGTATTAAATATTTTATTAATCAAATTGGTTGATTGGTTTTAGAAGTTATCCTAAAGTTTGATATTTAGAAGTACCTTATCCTAATGAATTTTAATTTAGTATTTGATCTCCTAATTAAATCTACCTCTTTTAGATTTTAGGTGGGTTAGAAGTTAATTATTAGATTAGTTGAATTGATTTAGATTTACATTTTAAATTTAGAATTCAATAATTACAAATGTTAATAATAAATTGATTAAGAATTAAATGTTTTAATAGGTTTTAGAAATTAGATTAAAATTGGTTAGTTGATTATTAATGAATTAAGAAAACAAAATCCGAATCTAGGAAAATGTGTCACTAGGTTTTTGTTTTAAAGTCTCTATCTTATAAGGAACATGCACCCTAAGTCTATGTTTTCTAAGACTCAGTCCTTAATTTTTTTGTCCTTAGATGTCACTAGTATTGTAGGATTAAAAGTGGCGTTGTTTTTCTAATTCCTAAGACTTCTATACGGATGTCATAGGATTTTAAGGATCTAAAAAAAGTAAAAGCAATCCTAAATATATAATTGAAGTTTCTAAGGCCCTAAGGATGGGAGGCGTGCAAACATCTAGGCCCCTAAAGGTTTTCTAAGTTTTTAGAAAGCTTACAGCACCGGGGGCTACGACCCGATGGCTCCGCCCGTAGCGCCCCTACCGGAAT